TTCTGTGGTTAAGGGTTACTAAACATTTCATTTCCTTCTTTTTGTAAGATAGATCATTAGTAATCTAGCTAACCTTGTGCCTGCTGTTTTTCACAGCTTGTCAAAGGAAACTAAAGAGCATTAACCATGAAGCAAAAAGGCATACTGAAGCAGCAGGGCCTAGACAACTCCATCCAGGTCTGTGTTTCATGATTAATTAGGTTTGGGGAGGTTTGAAACCAGAAATTGCTAAAGCTAGTCCACGGGGAAAACAGATCCAGAGTTGTACAGGAGTCAGACAAGGACAGCAGGCTGTGTGGCTTCTAACCAGCTTGAGTGTAAACTCTGCTGTGGTCTGGCTGTGTGACAGGAAGACAGCAATCCTATATGTTGCCATTATCACCGGAAGAATCAGGAAGCCAATCAATTGGACATTTGGGAACTTGCTATTTCCAGGGTTGGCCAAAGAATCTACCATAACCATTCCTTTGTTACTGTGATTTAGCAAGTTCACAAGTGTGAAGGAAAAGGGTAGGACAGGAGGATAATTGAGGACTTGGGTGGATTTTCTGCCATCAGGACCTACCTGTCCTTACTATGGATAACAAGCAGTTTAGAGGCTATTCCAAAAATTCCACTTTAAATCATGAAACCTAAAGTCAAGACACTAAGCTGAGCTATCCTGTCTTCCACTGTGTTTGAAATTTGTTGTTAGTACTCAGGCTTATGCACAATTTTGACAAGTGCCCTAAATATGAAAGTCATAACTTTCAGTTCTCAAGGGCCTTGATGTTCTACATAAAGGAGAAGATGAAGTTAGGGATTGGGGGAGAAAGGATGTGACAAAACATCAGCTGCAGAGAGAGTGGTGGCAAAGCAGGGTGGCAATAGATGTGCAGGTGAGTGAGGCAGGGTTTCTAGAAAAGATCATGTCTGTCTTCTCCTGATGATTAGGACTAATATGAAGTAAAAGTTTAGAAAATAATAGGAAAGCATGAAAAAGAAAAATTTCAGTATTTTTTCAGTGTACTTGTATATCTGTTTATACATATCAATATAACAAATGTAGCACCTCTTTTTACCACAATGTTATTTTGTAAGCATTCCCTTATCACTAAATATTTCTTGAAAACAGATTTTTTATTGGCAGAGTATTTTCGTTAGTTCTTTTGTTAGTGGTGCTGGGGATGGCGGAATTCCGTTAGAAGATTAGTACTTCCCAAATTTGTGCTGACTTTAAGTGATAAACTCTCTCTTGTATATCAATCTTTGTTGATAGCATTCTTAAAGTAATTGTTTAAATTTTATGGTGCTGGGGATTGAACCAGGCCCTGGCATGTTTTAGGCAATAATTGTACCACTGAGTTACACCCCGGCCCAGAATCAATTTCTAAAAGATTTAGGGAGCTAAAGGTATAAAACTTTTTTAAAGCTCCAGTTATTATTTGCTGCCAAGTTGCTATCCAGTTACATTCCCAGCAGGGCTTCTGATGGGCTCTTTAGGGGACTTGGTTCCATCCAGGCAGGGAAGTAAAGACTAACATGCCCTCTTGTGGAAAAACCCCAAGCTACAGAGTTGCCCTACTATATTTTAGGTGCAGCACAGAAATAGGTGGGGGGACTTGTTCTGCTTTATATTTCTTAAAAGAAAGTTAGAAAACCTATTTAATCCTCATCACTAGGACATAAAAATTATCAAGAGGAAAATTCCTCAAAGCACTTCCACACATTTTTTATACATTTTCCAAAGGAGAGGTGGGGTGTCTGCACTCTCTGGTCCAAAGTCAGCAGAGAAATGGGAACAGCACCAAAGTGGGGTCAGCACCGCCATCTTGAAACATCTGGGACATATTTGTAAGAATGAGTCGCGCCACCACTTTGGGCTTCCAGTGGTCAGCAAGGGTCCCCTGTTTGTCTCTTCCCCAAACACTATACCTTTATTCTTTGGTCCTCAGATGATCTGTCATAGCCAAGACCCATGCTGGTGCTGAGAGGACTGAGAGCTGTAATTTGACAGCAGCACCAGAGCACTTGGCAAGGCGGGCGGAGGATGAGCACCCAGTCTTCAGGTGGGAGTCTGGGAGATGGGCAAAATCCAGAGCAGATAGCATTTCTCTGCTGTTCCCATTTTCATGAGGGGCAGAATTAAAATGAGGTACTAACAGAAAGGAAGCTGTGGGAGACCACAAAGTGTCACCCCAAACATGCCTCATCCAGTAAGGACTATTGAGCTGAAGGATTTAACAAAAACAAAAACAAAATATTCTACCTTCCCTCTCTTCCAAGGGGAACAAATGTCAACCACTGTAGACAAAGCCTAGACTTCTAGGCCTGGAGATAGCACCTGCGGCATCTATCCTAACAAGTTTTATTAACTAGCTCTTATGGAAAGGCAAAGAAATGGCCAATAAGTTTCCACAAAGACTTGTCTCTTCTCTAAAACTTCACTCTTCTTTGTTGAAGATAACTACCTGAGCTAGAACTCAAAGCTATCTTTTTAAAAAGTACTCACTCACCCCCTGGGTATTTCCCGTGAATATACTCCCTTTTGCTTTTCTCACTAGCCTGCCTTTTGTTACAGCGATCTGTTACAACTAAGAACTTAGGGTTGAGGAAAAAGGGTATTTTTCTTCTACTACAAAATAAACTAGGCATAGGAAATAACCTGGGGGGAAATGCAGAGACTTGGCCCTTTTGCAGGCTCCCTCTCCCACTTCCCACTCTGAGATTTGGGAAGTTAGATACGCATTGTCTCTCAACTGTGTAAATGCCAATGACATGAGAAGAGCTGGTCCTGAGTCAGTATCCAAGAGACTGAACTAGTCAGAGACTCTGGGCCAGCAAGGGACAAAGAATTTAAAAAGTGTGACTTGCCTCAGGAATTAAAAAAAAAAAAAAGGCAGCACTTCTGCATTCTGCCTGACTTCATCATACATTAGCTCACTGCCACCCACCCCTCAACAATACCAAAACCAACAGTCATGCAACACACAAGATGAGATAATTAATACCTGATTCGAGAACAGCACTGTCCCACAGCCAATAACTCCCAGAGCCGAACTGAAGTTTTTAGGGATTACAACAATGTTTATCTTAAGCATATGGTTAGGAGTACTAGTTACGAGTTAGTTCTCCACCTGAGTATTCTTACCCTGCATTCTGACTCAGAAAAAGAAACACTTCCCTCAGGGAATCAGGACAACTAATTGCCACCCATGTCATCTGACAGTTCATGGCAGCCTTTGCAGGCTGAGGTTCACTAAATTTTATTTTGGTTTTGAAAATAGAACACTCTAGTCCTCACTAACCCAGGCAACTGAAGGAGTAAGCTGCTAGAAACCCAAAAGAATAAAAACAAAAGTTAATGACAAAGAAAATAGAAACGACTTGGGGGAAAGCATGTGAACAAGAAAAGGAAAATGAAGCTAGAGATGGGAGAGAATGACTCACTCTGTTGGACAGAATAAAGGGGGGAGTTTATAAGTACTTTTTTTTTGGGGGGGGGGTCAGTTTCAGCACAATTTATTACTTCACCCTCTTTTAACATGAGACATTGCTTCAACAACGTGAAGGCACTTGAGCAACGGCAGGAAGATGGCAAGTGAGAAAGAATAGCTGACATGGAGACAGTGGGCATCCAGGGTAGGCAGGATACAATTCATGCCTCCTGGCGTAGAAGATGTACACGTTTTGAGACACACTGACCTGAAGGCAGCATCTCTCAAGGAATCTCTGGTAGGGTTCTCACATCTCCATCCTGGGGTTTGCATTTTAGTTTAAACAAAGAGCATCTTGACTTTGCTTGATAAAATTCTAACAGTACCTGATCAGGCAAAATTTCAGACAACCTATGAATGCGATGCATTTGTGTTTATGCTTTTCTATCAGTAGCTGGGATAAAAAGTACTGAAATGGATTTTATTTTTTAAGTGTTCAGAAACATTTAATGTAAGAAGTGCTTCTGTCTTTCAAGTATTTTTTTTTAATCAATCTGCTGAGCCATAGGTAAATTAGCATGTCATTAAGTACACCAGGTATGTTTCTGATTTTTATATTTCTATTTCATGGTTGTATTTTAAAATACACCTTGTAGGAAAGTTTGCAGTTTTGTTTAGCTAAATGCTGTCTGGACTCACACTTGAATGCTACACGTTTCTTTTTTGAATACTGCTTTGTCCCTCTGAGTTTTCTTAATAGAAAAGTTAGCACCTCTGGCTGCCCCTGACACCAAGAGTCAGACCTGCAGAGAGGTGGAAAGGTGGAGGCTTAAGGTGAAGTGGGTGGTTTGGTGAGGGAAAAAAAAGCACTTTTTTCTCCCTATCCCCTTTCATGCCATTTGGAAGGCAGCAAGAATGGCCTCAGCTGGAAGTGAATACCCTGCCACCTTTTCCGAAAGGTCTGTGAGCCTTCTGGGGCTTTTATGACTTCAAAGTGGCCTTCTGTGAGCCACCCAGAGAGCCATCTATTGGGGAAGGTGTTTGGCAAATGAATAGGTGGACACACTTACTATTTTTTTTTTTCTTTTCTGTGCTAGGGATGGAACCCAGGGTCAGTCTCAACCACTGAGCTGTCCTCAGCTTCCGTATTTGATACTGTTAGGCCCCAAGATGACATATGAATTTGGAGACTTATAGGCATGATCATCTTACAGAAGATCTCTTTGACCTCTAATTTCCAGATAGGTTAATGAAAGGGGAAAAATACCCCACCAAACATCCTGAGCCCCTGCCAGCATTCACCAGAGGGCAGCCCTTGTGTGCACATGTATTGTGGCCATCTGCTCAGCAATGCACAGGTTATAAAAGGCGGCTGTGTGTTTCCAGGCTGTTATGCCAGGTGAAGCTGCACCTCCTTTACCTTGTATCTCTTTTTACATCCAGGAACCGGGCAGGCAAAAGGCTTCTCTTCCCCTCCATTCATGCACATGGAACTGAGGATGGCTTCTGAGCTGATGGCACTCTCTGTGGTCCAGGACTCATCACTGTCAGATTCCTCATAGTCCACCTCCTCCTCGTCGTACTCACTGCCTGCAGGAGCAAAGAAAAGAGCAAGGGCTGTCAGGAACGGTCCCTCACCACAGGTTGGCCCCAGCTTCCTGGGCCAGGAAGACTGGCAGAGCAAGGCAGCTGTGACTGCAGGCCCGGAGGGACAGAGTTATTCCCTGATACAGTCCTGTGAGGATAAAAGGTTAAAGCTAGGAACAGGCTGAGTAAGAACTTTATTCTATGGCAGGCCAACCTGTGGCTGCAAAGGCACCGGGAGGGCCCAGAACAGAAATAACCAACTATGGCAGATTCCTTTCAACACACTTGCAACACACCACCTGATGTTCCTTTAGTTTTATGATTTAGTAGCCTAGTAAATGCAAACAGCTGTGGGAGAGGGTTGCATTTTGTACTTTTAAGGTACTTACACTTCAATGGAAATAAATTTCAGAACTTTGCTTTATAGATTTGAGCCAGGAAGATGAAGAGGCACTTTTGGCACTGAAAGAGGGTTACAGCAAGGTGGGCAGAAATGTCAGGAGCTCTGAGGTTAAGATGTAAGAAGGGTATGCAGGTCTGGCTTCTGGAAGATGGACGATTCCCTACACACTTATCTACCTTTCGGCTACACACACTTCCTGGCAGGGTTGACCCAACACAGTCATATGGCTCACACAGGAAGAGGATACTCATACTCCAAAAGGTAAAGGCTCTGCTAAGAATTGAATAAGAATCTACTTTCACCATTCCTATCCAGGAGAGCAGGGATGGAGAACCACCTTGACAAGCCTTCACTTTTTGCTCTTTTTAAATGAGGCCTGACACAATTTATTTTGTGCTTTTGCACAATACAACCCTGAAGGACATAATTCTACAGATCATAAACAGTGTAAAATAATATGTTGACAAGTCCTAATGCATTTACAAGCCCTGTGGAATAAATAGGAATTATAGCACAACATTAATAAGAATTATATGGTAGCAATTACAGTTGTGAAATTCATCCCCCAGGTGTGAGGCTAAATTGTACCAGGGGCCTGCTTGGGTGCTTCACAGGCTCACTCTGCTACATCAATTATTTCAACACCAAATATTGGCACTTTTATTGGGTTTCATTTTAATAGGCATTAATAAGATTGTTTGAAGAGCAGTTGAGCCAGGAAAAGGGATGCCGACATCCGAGGCTAAAAATTGAAAGGATTCAGGAAGGAAGGAAAGGACCTTAAATTTATTGAGTGCCTATTATGTTTCAGGCACATTATATGCATTATCTCATTTAATCTTCCAGTAACCCTATGAGGTAGGGATTACCGTCACTATTATATACACAAAAGAAACTGAGCCCCCATGAGGTTAAAATGTTTATGAATTCTCAACAAGCTTTTAAGGGATGTCACTTTTTCCCATGTTGCTTCTTGACCCCTAATACCAGAAACTGTTGAGCCTTCTCTGAGGGGATCACTCTCAACTTCCTGCAAGTTGCTGGTTATTCACCTTCTACACTCAGGTAGAATTGAGACTGTTTCTGAAGACTGCTAGAAATCTCAGGGGGCACAAAAACAATTCCCCCACCAACATTTTGGCAAAAATGAGGCTTTAGAATTAAATGTGGGTCAGACCCTGCTGTACTTGAATGAAGGCTCCCCAAATTAGCCAGCTTGGAAATGCTCGTGTCAAAATAACATAAGGGTACCACCCTGTTGCAGCCTGCCCTGTCCGTCGGAGAGAAAATGCTGAAATCTGTTTCTGAGTACGGTTTTGTTTAAGACACTTTACTCTTAAACAAATGCCACATGCTGGTGTCCTTAAATTGCTTGTTAGAAAACTATAAGTGCTATTTCCCAAAGCTCTTCCAGCGGGACTTCAGAAAGTTAGCAGGACTAATTTACCCATCTAATTGGGCTAATTTGTTAACCTGAATACCAAGATCCACGCAGCATTTACAAGTGGGGGGCGAGTGGGGAACCTCAGACCAACTGAGGGCTTAATGAAGCCCAGTAGAAGATAAAACTTCAAAACTTTACTGGATCAAAAGGGACCAGCCCCTGAGGCTTGCTGCTGTGTACACAGTCGCCTGGAAACCACATGGTGTACAGCCCTGAGCTGGGCAGCAGGGGCCACATGACTAATGGTCCAAGCTGGTTCACAGCCAACGGTAGTGCTGTGACAGCAAGCATAAATCCACAGTGTCCCCAGCAAACCAGGACACATGCCCCTAGTCACTGGCACACCAAAGGGATCTCAGGGTACCGGGTGAAACTAATCGATGCCCTTACATGGCGCTCAAGATGGACTCGTTTATAGTTTCAGAACAAAGAGGAGCAGCTGCAGACCTGGGTTCCTGCATTGGCTTGGCTTTCATCAGCCAAGGGACAACCTGCTGGGCTTCTACTTTCTCGTCAATGAAATGGATGCAGATATCTTCCTGGCAGATTTAAAGATTAGAATTCATGTCTATAGAGCTTCACAGTGCTCAGCAAATGGAGGACAATAAAAGAAAATCATTTTTGTAATACTCACATATAAAATAATATTTTTAGAAAAGTGTCTTTTGAAACTAAATTAAAATAATAGTTCTGAAAGGGTTGGGAGTCCCTATACAAAACAAAATAGACTGTGAATTTGTAACAACGATTCCCACTATTATGTAAAATTATAATGCTCCAATTAAAAAAAAATGCGGTGTGAATTTGTAACAATGATTCCCACTGTTGTGTAAAACTGTAATGCACCAATTAAAAACAAAACCAAAAAAGGACAAAACTGCTTTGATTCTTCAGTGCAGGTGGAGCAAAGCATACCCCCACATCCCATTTCAGTGAGGTCACAGATACCAGGCTGGAGGCACAGGCAGGAGCTTGAGTGCACATGGGAGCCCCATTGCTACCACTGAAGTTGTGTGAACACAGGCAAGTGACACCACCTCTCTGAGCCAGACACCTTATCTGCAAAATGGGCTAAAAACAGTACCCACCCTTAGGATTATTGAGTTCCTGTCTTTAAAAGTACTTCAAACAATGCCTGAGACATAGCATTAAGAAAATGTTTGATATAGAAATAAGAAAAATATCACGAGCAGTTTTATTATGCCATTTACTGTTCTGACTCTTCTTGAGGACAGCCACATTTTAAAACCAGAGGAACATGTAGGGTGTCTCCTTGAATTTGCCTTCCTATACCCCAGTTGCCACCCTTTTATCAAACAGAATTGCCAACTGCCTGAAGCAGCCATTTCTCCTTGCAGCAGCCAGAGGGCCTACCGTGGGCACAGAGAAGCTGCAGTGGCTCTTAATTAAGTCACCTGTGCTCACATGCTGGTGTCCATTCAGTGCCCCCTCCTGGAGCACTTGCCACTAGAGGCCATAGCGGTCCTGCAGAAAAGTTTGAGACCAAAATCACCTGTTCTCAGTCTCCTTTCAAACATCTTAGAACTCTAGAAAGAACTGACCTCATGATAAAGTCACATACTGAGTTGTAAAAATGTTTGAGCAATTTTCTCTCTACTTTGCTTTAATTTCCTGATTTTCCAAAAGAGGAAAATAAATCCCAGCCTCACTCATCTTCAATGTCTGCCTCATCTGCTATCTCCAGACTTACTCCAGAATGATGAAATTCTCCGCAATCCCTGGATTCTACCTGGGAACTCCTCACCCATTCAGGAATACAGGAGGGAGCAAGGCTGTTTCTCCTAACAATGGTCTCCCTATAATATCCCAGTCAATAAAAAAAAGTCAAGAGCACAACCCCAAGTATGAGTCTGTGAATATTTTTAGTATAAATGCCGTAAATGTATGTACTCATATATTGCCATATAAAACAAATACAAAGTAGTGAAAATAAAATAAGTATATTAATATGTGTACTAGTAAAAGCAATATAAAAATTTAATATATCACATTCCTACACCTCACTTTGGGGCCACCTTCTTCCAGGCCAGCTGCAGGGTCACATGGGGCACATCACAGTCAGCTGAGGGATACGCAGGTTGAGATGAAGCTACATAAATACCACTTGGGGATTCAGCCCAATGTTCATTTTTAATAGGATGATTACTGTTTGTGTTGTTGATGCTCCAATTACAAATCTCCATGGCTTTGAGGGTCTGGTTTAACCCTAGTTCTCCCATATGCTCCATTAGTCTATTATTTATTTACTTATTTTTGTACCAGGTATTGAACTCAGGGACACTCAACCACCGAGCCACATCCCCAGACCTTTTTTGTATTTTGAGACAGGGTCTTGCTGAGTTGCTTTGGGCTTCACAAAGTTGCTGAGGCTGGCTTTGAACTCAAGATGCTCCCTTCCTTAGCCTCCTGAGCCGCAGGCATTCCAGGTGTGTGCCATTGTGCCTGGCACCCCATTAGTCTTTAGCACACAAATGGGCAGAATATGAAGACTTGAGGAACATGTATATGTCATGGTAGACTAAACGCCTGCTTTTTACTTGGTCTTCCTTTTGCTTTAAGCCATCTGCTCCCTAAATTCTGGCACTTGCCTATAAACTTAAACCTATTTGTGCTTATGTATTTTCTTTTTAAAATAAAAATTGTAGCTGCTTAAGAATGAGCTGATTTTATTTTTCACAGGCGTTTCTGGAAACAGAAAGCGCTGCCATTTTGGGTCTGGGGCTACCTGTAAACTTGACGCTAGGAAGGGTGACTTCCTGGTCACCAGTCTCTCTCCTTGACTGAACAGCATGGAGAGCTGGGATGCAGGGCCAATGGCGTGTCCGAATTACCTGGCTGGAACAAGGCCCAACTAAGACTGCTACTCAGGACTGCGGTTCCAGAGTTGTGCTCCTTTGTCTTCAAATGGAACATCCCCTGTATAAGGGGGATGAAGATCCCACAGACAAAGGAGGCCTGGAGATGTGCCAGGGGGAGAAGAAATTGAACACCAGGTGGAGTCACTCAAAGCCATCCGAGGCCTGTGGTGCAGGAGCACATGGGAAGCAGAAGCAGTGGGCTGTCCTCGTGGCAGTTGGGACACAGCCATGCAGGGAGGCTGCAGTCCAGCCTTTCAAAGAGAGCTCTGTGAGTGGTTTTTCTTAGTCTTGGATATGATTAGTCAATGAAAAAATGACATTCACTAAGTTTCTACAAGGAAATGTGATTTAACCTGTCATGTCACATGTAAAAACTGGCAACTACTAATCCTTTTTAGATTGTAGTTTTATTCTCCACAGTCTCACCATCCCCATTGTGCAGGCCTGAGTGGGCACAATGGCAGCTGAGGGAGACTCAGATATGGCCCCAAAAGTTCATGTCAGCATTCACTTTGGGAAACTGGAAAAACTAGTAGATAGGATTCTGTGATAAGACTATTTCATTCTACAGGACTAATGAGAAACTTCTGGCTGTTAAAAGAGATAAAAAGTCAGTTTTGTAGCTGGGCATGATGGCGCACACCTGTAATCCCAGAGCTTGGGAGGCTGAGGCAGGAGGATCCCAAGTTCTAAGCCAGCCTCAGTAACTTAGTGAGGCCCTAAGCAACTCAGAAAGACCCTGTTTCAAAATAAAAAATAAAAAAGGGCTGGGGTTGTGGCTCAGTGGTTAAGCACCTGTTGGTCAATCTCTGGTACAAAAACATCAACAAACTGTGAATTACATTAAAAAACCTCAATGTGATGTAGAATTCCTTGTGTGCAGGTACACACACACACACACACACGTGTATGCGCACAACCCTGGCCATGACTGCCCACCTGGGACAAGCAAACGTCATTGCCCATGAGCCCAGCCAGGCACTACGGCTGCTGCTGGCCCTCTCACTTGCCATGAGCAGTTTCAGATCTTCCTCTCTCCTCCAACCTCTGCCTTCCTCCCCTTTATCTCTGGGGATAATCAATCCTGTTTTCATTCTTCGTGGTCATAAGACAGTGCCACACAGATAAAAATAAGGGAAGCTTTCCCAGAAACCCAATATGCAGCATTTTCTATAACACAAAAATTAATATTAATGCAAAAGTGGTAACTGCAGTGACAGCAAATTAAAACTCTCCCGGGGTGTCAGATTCTGCCTTATAGATTTATCAATATAAATTAGCTTTATTGGTGCTGACCCACTTTATCAGAGCTGAGCAACACTAGTCTAAATGAATTGGCAACAGATGATTATGATGAAAACCACATTAATGGCTCCGGGAAACGCCTGGAAAATTCTTCGCTTCCTTGTTGCTGGGTCTCAGTTCATTCCTGGAATGTCAATCTCCCATCTCCTCCTTAACTTTATAACTGATTCTGGTTCTCCAGTCCAGAAGTAACATCTCCCTAGGACTTCACACTTTCTAGTGGTTGCTGCACCCTGTCGGTTTCATTTATGGTGCTTAGAGACCCTTCATCATTATCTTTGATTATCTCACACTGCCCAGGGCAGTGCCTGCACATTAAAAGCCCATGGTCATGTGTCTGTCAAATGAATGATGAGGGACTATGCTTACAGGTGGAAGGGGACCCAAGACTGCACATCCCCCTTTCTTGACACCCCTCACAATCTTAAAAAAAAAAAATTATTTCACTTGCCTGCTTAAAAGCCTCCAATGACTTTTCATAGCAAAAAGCAGCCCAATGCCTTACTCCCAGTTGCATGGATCTTTAATATTTGAAGAACTAATTTTTTCAAAAAAGAAGACTTAAGAACTATTTGTACTTGGTTTAATGCTAAATGCTTATACCTATAAATCTATGTAAGAAATATTTCTAAATATTCAGATACTATTAAATAGTAAAACACACTTTTAAAAATAAAATGCTCTTATACATATAAGTATTGATTAAAAACTTTAAATTTAGTATGTGTGTATTTAAATTTAGTATGTGTGTATAACTTATTTATTCATACTAGGGTTGGAACCCAGGGGATCTACCACTGAGCTACATCCCCAGCCAACTTGAGCAAGGATCTCACAAAGTTGCCCAGGATTGCCTCCCACTTTCAATCCCCCTGCCTCAGCCTCCCAAGTCAGCCTCCCAAGTCACTGGGATTACAGGCATGTGACACCGCATCCAGTTTCAGCTTTAAAATATCTTAAAGACATACAGATCAAACAAATGCTCACAGTGACTACAAGACCTACACTCAAACCATTATGCAGGTTGGTTCTAGTGATCTGATTTTTTCATTATTTCTATACTTAGTTTGACCTTCCTGGGGTTACAAGAATCTGGCAAGACCTAAAAGAGGAGCTGATCTCAGGCCAGTAGAAAGTGGAATTTCTTGGTGACTGACCCACTGACTCTTGGTCAGGACAACAGAAAAAAATACTTCACAGGGGAGCATATATTTATTTTCTGGGATGGACATTTGGGGAACTTTTGTCAAGGTCTGTTTCTTCATAAACAGAACTTTCAAAGCTCACATATTTCTTGCCACTTTGCAACCTTCAGTGTAATTATAAGGGTCACTGGAGATCACGTCTCCCTGGGACCAGGTGTTCCCTCAGCCCAGCCACAGCCCACTCTTGCCAGTACTCCGAGCTCTCTGGGTCTTCTTCCTCCAAGTCTGCTGGCCACCCTTTCCTAGTCTTGCCCCATTCATTCTTTTTCTAGAACTACAGGGGCTTACTCATAATTCCCTATCTGCTAATGGTGATGGAGATGATGATGCCTGTGTTTAATAAACAGAAATCAACTTTTCAGAGTACGAGGCCACCTAGGCAGCAAAATTTTCACCAGTTATATATTACAGCTACTTTTCAGCACAGTTTCTATCACCTTCCCCATTTCAAATGTCATTCTGGATTCACAGATTTCCACAGAGGCTGTTCATTACCAGCTACTCACCAGTTATCACCACGGCTTGGCCAAGGTGGGTCACTTTAGGTGACTTCCTCTATCCTCTCAGCATTTCCTCATGAATGTCTTTTTAATATAAAATTCCTTCTTTTAACCAGTTATATTTGTACACAGAAAAAGTCACTTTTGTGAGGCTTGTAATGAAGGAGAGGAATCCCGCCCACCCCTCCCTGCAGCAGGCACCTCTATGTCTTTGACCTGGCCTTTACCGCCCATTTCTAAACAACATGCCTCTACTGCTGGTTTTCGATGTTTGGTTTTGGATGGCTGCTGATGTCCTCAAGTGCGAGGTCGGAATTTCAATCCTCCCAAGCCACTTCCTGCTTTGCCCGCTTCCAGTAGAGTTTCATTATAAAATTTGGTGTCACAGTATTCAGTGTTTGCATTTTGATGACACAGAGCCATGTAATGAACTGTGCTTGTGTTTTTATTGTTCTTGAAGTTCACTGATGCCACTCTATGGCCCATGTGTCGTCATCTCTCATCTTTATCCTCCTCCTCACCATCTAGCCGCAGACACTTATTTGGGGCTCATTATATGTCAGGCACAGACTGAAGCACCGGATATCAATTTATTCAAACCTCACAACAACCCTTTGAGATGGGTAGTAAGATTTACACTGAATAGCACTCAGAGAGGCAGAGCAACTTGTGTAAAGTGACAGAGCTCTCCCGTCTGCTGTCTGGCTCCACAGCCTGTGTTCCTACCCAGCATACACGCTGCTTCCTTGAGTGCACTCTCAGTGGAACTGGCAAACTCTCCATCTGCCTGAACACATCAAGCAGTCCTCCCCTTGCTTTCTTCCTGAAAGACACTCTCCTGACATGATCCACACTATTGATCCAATAGACCATCGCCTTCCAGGTCTTCCTGGGGGTTCTATCCACCTCTCCCATGCAGCTGAGTCCTGCCCAGAGATTCTGTCTTGCTTGGGTCCACAGTAGGTGAACTCCCTCTGGCAGGCACTTCCCAGGGGCTGCTCCTTTCCTGGTTCAACCTCTGGGCTCCAAATCCAGCTTTCTGGGGCTGCTGGAGTGCCCCACACTGGATGCATGAGTTGGAGGCTCATGTGCTTCTTCTCACTGTCCCCTCCCTGCCTGTTCCACACTGTGCTGGGGACCCATTCACCTGCTGCTTATGCCCTTCATTTCTGGGAAATCTCATATATATATTTTGTTGTTAATGATTCACTCTCATCTCTCTTACCTGTCTTTCCGGAAACTCACTTTATTCAAATTTATACCTCCTGGACTAATCCTCTAATAGTCTTCATACATCTATGCTTACATTTTTTTCTTGTCTCCTCCTTCTGGGATATTAAAGCTATTCCTCTCTGGCTTTTGTACAGAGGCTTTTATTTCAATTCCCAAGGCCCAATTTGGTTCTGTTCCCTCCCTCCCCTCCCAGGAGGCAGTTTCAGTTAAGGCTTGTGTTTCTCCTGTCCCCTGCTCTGCCACTGTTTCTCCCATCTCTGTTTTGCCCTCGTCTGTAGGTCTGAGACGCTGTGCATCTGGAAGCTGTTCTCAGGCCTTGGGGCTCCTTGCCCATCTGCCTGCTGTCTTTCCAGGGTGAGGCATAAGGAGCCCACTGGCTATAGGCTGGGCGGGGCTGCCAAGTGGAGACTGTCCCCAGAGTGACCTGGGTAGGGCTGCCCCTGGTGGCATCTGCAGCATTTTCTCCAGGGCTGCTGGGTTCCTGAGGTGGGGAGGGAGGAGAGAGATTCTACCACTAGGGATGGAGTCTTCTTCACTTAGCATTCCAGTTCTCAG